AAGGTAACTTAACGTAGCTAGTAGCCAAAGAGCGATGCTAGTAGGAAACAAACTGACTATTTTAGAGCCAATTTCCAAACAAATGGGTGCTTTCCAAGAATAGAAGCCGTATGCATGCAAAATTTTCAAATAAAAGCTTCCAAAATAACTGACAACAAAGCCGTAAGATGGAGTCGAGGTCCTTTGACTAGAGGGTGATTCAAGGATGAAACTTAAAGTCGAGGAGAGAGCACTAAACACAAGCGATTATAGCACTAACAGCATGATGCTCAATCTTAAAGACAATTGATGTCAGCGAGTGCGTGGTGAAGTTATTCGATAATTATGAGATCCATGCGCGAAATGGAGCAGTACAGATCAACAATTAAAAAGGTGCAGTGGATGCAAAAGCCGATGACTGGGCAAACCGACAATATCAAGAGCCTGACGAAGAAGAGGCTCAGCCTCGGTGTGCCGTCCTAAGGCGATGAGAGCAATAGCCTGACCATTCAACAAAAGCGTGGAGGGCTTGTTCTTCTCCTGCAACTCCTGGTAGATGTTCAGCGCTTCTGCTACCTTCTCTCCTCCCTGCCGGTGCCAAACGAATGTTAGGACGTAGAGAAGCGAAGGTAACCTAAGGTTATACCTATCCATTTGTATGCTACACAAAGGCTTAGCAAAGGAGAAATAAAGTAGAAAACTGGATTGTAACATACGATGAAAAGAACACGCGAACTCAGAATAATAATATTTATTGCTAAGTGGACCACATCCAGGGAACGAAACAATCGTACCTGTTCAACCTCATTTAATTTTGAATTACTTATATGAACACAAAAATGATCGTCATAATAATTCCTAATTGGTAAAAGATTTTAGCGGCAGCAAACACAGATTTAGGCAATGTGTAAAGACAGACACCTTAGACTAGCGAAAATACAAAAGCTTTACAACGTTACCTGAACCAAGCATAATTCGGCGGAAGCTAACTGGCTAACCATAGAGTCCTCATTTTTGGTCTGCATTCTAAGAACTACTTTGGCCGCTAAATCGACCCGGTTCATCATGAGAAGGCAATGGACAGACATTGCATCACTAGAAGCAAAGAAGAAGAGCTGTAAAATATGGATTCATAAGACAAGTAGCTGCGAAAAATATACTGATGCCTCTCAGACGCCTACCATACAAGGTCAGAACTTTGATGAAGAAGCTTAAGAGCCTTCTCGGGCATCTATAATCAAAACGTGTGGTAAAGTTTTCGAAATCCATACGTCTAGATTCATGAAAATAGTTGCTCCAATAGTGAGAGCAGTCGCATCCTTGGCAGGAATGTCCTCCATCAAAATTGCGTTAAGTTTATCAACAACTTCGTCCCTAAAATGTAAGCACTCAAAATTGAAGCCACTTGGAATAAACTTCAGATAATTGCTCGGCCAAGAGAAGAACAAGACGATATTCTGGAAGTTCATGAGACTTTGAAACTTCATTTATAACCACGTTATACTTCTGCTGCGCGATATAGGCCTGAAAAGTGAGCAAGTCGACACGATCCCGGAACTCCGGAGGAACAATCTAAAGGGCAAACTACGCATAGTAAGTCTTCGAGAAGAGCAGACTCAGGGGAATATAATATGTAATTAGGTGAACTTGGGTTGCCAAGTACGTACTGCATAAAGCATTGTGGAAAGGTAGGAATGTCCTAAGGGGCTCCAATAAATTGTAACCATTAAAATGATTTTACACCAAGAAACAATTAAGTACAATGCAGACCGAAATTCCATGTAGAAGTTTCAAACATTCCTGAAAGTTTTCAAGAATGAAATTATCTCTCGCGTCTTGGATGATTGACTCGATATTCATCGAGTAGTCGACGTACACCTGGAGTAGCCGCACGAACTATTTGCGTGGGTCCCTCATAAGCCCACTCAAACAAAAAGAAGTCATAACTTTTAAAACACGGTAAATTTTTAACAATATATATAAATTGCACAAAAATTAAAAAATAACACGTTTTAGCTGGTTGTGATTATAAACTTTAGTGCGCAGTGCAGTTTCTTTAACCAAAATATACCTTAGTCACTTGCAAAGAATTGTTAAATTCCTCTCATGTTCCAAGGATGCTATTGCAGCCCCCCGAGACTTCCCACAAGGTGAAAGAAGTAAGCAAGTGAGTTTAGATGCATGACCCCAAAGAGAACGTCCGGTAGTCATATAGCGAAGCGTTACGGCAGCGTACCAAGGTTTTCCATAGGGCAGAAGTAAGCATAAGTGAGGTTGAACACATGCATTCCAAGGACGACAGGGCGAATGAGGCCTGAGCGTGGCCTGAAGACCAGCCCACGTGTACAGGGCCAGACAAATCCTAAACTGACAGCTAAACATCCATTACTCTTACAAACAAAGCATTGCGGTTACAACTACATCGATCATTGTCCATTTCCAAAATAGCAATCAAGAACTAATGTATACAGTGCTGATATACGTTTTGCACTTCGCCAATATAAACCAAAACTCTTACTCTTCAAAAATACAACTACGCATATCAAATCTTTGTGATAGGCTTTTTATTCAGTGTTATCAAAGCATCAAAATACTTTATAGTAGTCACAATGGTATTTCTGATTGTGATATCCGGGTCACGCATGATAAACCAATGAAAAAGAAAGTACTCGCGCCGCCTTTTCGCCGTTATGGCTTCGGCGCTTAAGCTCTCGGGTGCTGTCAAGGAGTTGCGAATTCTCTTTTCACCTATCAATCCTTCAAGTGGGGGAGTAAGGTAACCAACTGCATTTTCAGCTTTAAATTTTTTGTGGCGGCTCTCTTTAGTCTGTCTGGCCATTTTCTGTTACAATGCTGTATACTTATCTCTAAACTTGAATGCTCATAGTGAATCGTGAAACTATCCCTTGGTTGCTACTCTCTAAGTCTAACCTTAAGGTCTTTTGTGGTAACGTACTGAATAGAACCGTTGTATGCTGCTGATTTTTTGGTTCACCTTAGCTGGGTGATATACGACAGTTATCTCATTGCGCTTTGTTCTTGTTTTTGATCCATCTTAACACTTTCAAGTCTTGCATTCTTGTATGCGAAGATGACTCTCCTCTTCTATGACCCCTTTTTTCAAAGCAGTTCTTTCCTGCTTTTTGCCTCTAGGGAATTCATTAGCAAGCACTATGTGAGTTTGAGAAACAACAATCCCAATGTCAAGTTTATGCTACGCGAGGGCAACTCAGTTAACCCTTGCATATACGTCAGGTACAATTTTGGCAAGGAGTCATTTGTTTCGGTGGATAACGCTTCTACCGCCGAAATAATGAACAAGTTCGGCAAACTCACGACTGCCTAATCATAATTTTATTAGTTGTATTCCCAATTGTTCTGGAACAAATGGCATTTTGAATTGTAGATTTGTCTCGTCCCTAAAATGGGGGTTAATTTAGGTTTTTATGAAAACACAGGTAGTCTTATTGATTTCAAGATCCGATGCACGGTCTTGAAGTAGCGACTTTGGATTCCTTGAACACGCTCCTTTCCCTTGTCTGAGCCAATCTCCATGTACATGTGGTAAAAGTCGGCATGTTGCTAAAAAGTGGACAAAAAGTTATGGACTGGAGATTGGTAGTTATTTACCGCGAGTTCTGCTGAATTCTAACTTAAGATTGCTCGGTCAATGAATTCAATAGCTTACGCGAAGTGTCGGATGCACATCGGGGCTGAATTTGTCATCGGATTCGGAGATCTGCAATTGATAGACGTACTTTCGGTTCATTGAGTACACCCTCCAGCGATCCTTCGAAGGATAAGCAAAGTTGTTTTGAACATGAACTTAGCTGGGTAAAGAAAGTACTTCCTGGTAGCTGGCTACCTCGTCTACGGGCCCATCATCGTCGAGGTGTTCAGTACCGACAAGAATAATGTTGTTGGGATCTTGACACGCTGAATTCCAATGAGACCACCCGAAGGCCATCACCGGGCTTAGGAGGGCCATTTGCTCGTACAACCTCTGCTCCGTCAATGGGTTCTAGGTGCATAATTACCAATAACACTTTATTATTAGGATCTCAGGAGTGAAAGGCGCTTATTAATAAGTGGGTATCAAGCCCGTCTCTTGTAAAGGGATAAAACCGCAAGAATTACCAACGGGACCGTACCTTACCGTCAGCGTTTTTCTTTACGATATAATTGTTACATGATTAAATGGGTTATTACGATGCACCCACTGTGAGTGCCTTCATGAACATATTTGTAAGAGCGGCGTCCAGTTCCGACAAGTTACTCATTGTCAGCAGCAATTTTCACACGTCCGTTTGAAGTAGATTAGGTTGACATATCACTCCATAAAATCCTATCTTTCAGTTGCTCTACAAACGACGCCCACATCTTGGTAAATATAGCAGATTACTGGTACTTTGGTCACAAGCATTGATTAGTTTGGGTTTTTTAGCATTGCATCGAGCAAATACCGAAACCTAAAATAGCGATAAATGTGGGATAATAAGTTACAGACTTTACCATCCTACCTATTTGAATGTTCCTCTGTAACCGCATTTTGCCTCTTCCAAAATCTTTGGCAAAGTTTCCTAACATTCGACTGGCCTTAAAGCAAGTGGTTATTGAATCCTATAAACCCAAGAAATGAATGCCAATGTTCCTTTAATCGAGAAGACATCCTACAGAGCAACTGCGCATATATGAGCGGTTCGAAACAATCAGTTAAGTGAAATGAGATTGACCTTCTCAATGCACTCCACACGCGTGCATGAGTCGGGCCGGGGAAAGATGTTGACTCCTGAGGCCGTGAGCACACAGATGAGCTCATCGGGAGTAAACCAGCGTCCCGTAAGGTGCTCAAGTTCCAACCGTCCACCAAGCACATCTTCAGTAATAGCGCCGGCGGCTCCGACTCTACTTGCTCGCGGTCCCGCTGCTCCCCCACCGCCAAAGCGTCGCCGCGTAGAAGACGGTGCAGCAATGGCAGTCTCATCAACAGCCTCATCGGGAACTGGAGCAGGAGCCGGTGCCACTCCGGCCGCCTTTGCTGCTGCTGCTGCTTCTTCCTCTGCTATCTTAATGGGATCTAAGATGGCCTTCGGGTCTTCCGCTACGATAGCCACCCGGTCGTCCAGTACATGAAGGTGAACCTGAAGAAGATAGACAGTCCAAAACTTATCAAATGAACTTTATCCACCCTCCCTATAGAACCACGATGTCTCCTCATTTCGATTTGCATGAAAGCACCGGCTTGGAAATTTTACTGCTATTTCAGTCGTAGAAGGAACACAAAGTAGTTAGAGGGCGTACTCGAATACAAGCTCCAGTGATGGTAATGAGGCACTGATCAGCTTCAGTCTTGTCGGCTAGAAAGATTTCATCTGGCACTCCCATGGAGTCCAAGGGACCAAGGGCGTCTGTTTGAGCCGGTAACTGCTGTGACAACGGTGATTGAGGTGGAGAGGCCGCTGCCGCCTCTCCCCCATCATCGTTTGGGGCAACCGATGTCACCTCGCCGCCCTTCGTTGTTGCCGCCTCGGATGGTTTCGCTGCAACTACCAATGCAAGTGGCTGCGATAGTGGTGGTGCTTGAGGTGCCAGAACCGAATGAGAGGCTCGACGAGGTGGCTGTTGCGCCGTAGTGACTGGCCCCGGTGAGGTCTAACCAATGGAATACTAAGCAGTATTAGTCCAAATTTGTTAGACTACCGGACTACAATACTTTTCATTTGATTCGCTCTATTACCTCACATTACTTTTCTTCCTTATCATTAAAGATATTTAACATTGTCCTCTGTCTGAGTGCATATGGGGAGAAAAGCCCAAGCAGGTTTCGGTTATCTGAGATTTTGGTGCGCAGAAGCCTGGCGAACTGGCACCAGCAGCAGCATAGCGCTAAAAACCCACACTTTTAAATTGCTTCTATCTGCAACTACGTAGTAATAGGGCACCCATAGGGTTGATTAGGACAACTACCAAGTGGTCACACTAAGGTGTAATTGAATCAGTTTCAAAACTCCAAATTTCAGAGCTTCGGAAAAAACATGAAAGAAGTTACCGAGGAGTCTAAAGGCAAAGGCTCCATATCTTCGTCGCTGGAGGTGGTCGCCACCACCTCGAGCATTTGTGATTGTGTCTTGACGACTCGCCTGGGGAGCGGTCTCATCTCCCAGTACTGAAAGTCAGTAAGAGTAATCCCATTAATTAAGAATTTTAAGAATTTATTGTAAAAAGCGTTTAGCACTTTCTACGTTAAAGTAATATTTAAATATAAAAGGTGAAAGTCAACGAAACGAGCTCAAGACTCCGTAAGCAACGAAGACTCTTCTTTAGTGAACGTTACCTGAAAGGGCATGTTCAGGTGAAAGTCCTGAAAGACAGCAAATGTACCGAATACAGCAGTTATAAAGGAAATCTCATTCAGCTCAGGAGTAAACTGGTTGATCACAATGCCATTAGTTCGCCATATCAAATTTTCCGGATCCCAACAAGCTAACACGGGCTCCTCAGGGATGATGAGGCAGTTGGGCAAGCTGAAGACAACACAAATTGACCACCAGAAGGACCGATCAGTCACTCGAGAGATAGAAATTCACTGGTAGAACGTTTAAAACGCATTTACCGTAGCTTAACCTCCACAGGTGGGTTCGGCTCTGGAGCATCTACTGTCTTTATATTGGACACAGGTGTGTGAACTGAAAATGGAAACTTCCACAGTTAGACAAAGGGGATCCTCACTAACATGGATAGAAAATTTAGAGCTAAAAAGCGTGGTTTCATAGAACTTCCCATGCAATTCAATATGAAATGAACCCAATCAAGTATAGCTGTACTGTACTGTTTAACAAAATTATTTATGACCTAACATCAACGTCCTCTTGATTGTTAAGGAAGTCAACAGTTGTGTTTCAGCGACTACGATAATATATCAGGGTAAAATATCAAGGCAAATGAACCAATTCCAATTAACAGACTTACGATCCAAGGTAGCATCAGCATTACCCTCTACTGGCACACCAGCTCCATTGGTATTGGGAGTAGTTACCTCTCTCTCCTCCACCTCTGTTTCCTCGACCCCCTCTGCCTCTCTTTCTTCTTCTTTTGTCTCCTCTCCTTTCCCTTCCGACTCTGTATCTGATCTTGTCCTCTCATCCTCCAATTGAGGAGTATCGACTATGTACTCGAAGGGTGCAAGAAGGGGAGGTACAACACAATTAGTCCATTGCCAGCCACGACCCATGCGAGGCTGCCGTGGAAGTTTGAGCAAGTCAAACTGGAAGACTCCGCCTACGACGTGATAGTCACAGAGGTCGATTGCATCCTCCGGCAAGGGGACGGGATTCCATAAAGGCTTGGCTACAGACAATCCCAAAACCCAATAATCATATAAGACTTCACGAACACACGCGCAGGTTACTTCAATTGGAGTCCTCGATAAGTTCTATGAGCATTAACATTTTAGGATGGCCTGCTAAGAAGTGAGAACTCAAGTCCTTCATACCTTTGATTAAAATCCCTCAAAAGCATTTTTCAGTTAATTTACTTCCAATGCTGTCGGAATGGACAACAGTCAACTGCCACTGAGTACAGGTTTGGCTAACATTTCTGCTTTCAGCAAACATACTATTGGGTTTTCAATCATTTCTTATCCGTCTAAACTGAGGAGTAAAGACATCTGATAAGACTGCCACTTTAAGAGTTCTAAGGGGAACATTGTGTTTCATACCTAAGCAAAGCATTTTTGTCACAGCATGCGCCAACAAAATTAAAGTCTAGGAAATTCACTAACTTATACATTTAGGCGCAATGAGGATTTTAATTTACTTGGAGTCTCCACACGATCTTCTGGTATTTCAACAATCTCGTCTTCCTCCTTATGCTCTTCTTCCTCTACCCTTTTTTGTCCCTCATCCAAAAGGTCGAAAAAATTCTAGTGCATAAAAAAGCATTGATGACAACTGGTATTGTATTCGCGTGCACAGAGTAATAAACTAAGGCTACGATATATTTTTGCTTGCTAAATTTCACTCTACGAAACCAAGAAAGTAAGCTGCCATGATTCGCTAGATTTTGGTGCAATAGGCCCATAAAACCTGCTAAAAAAGGACCATACCATAGAGAACTTTGCGTTGAGTTTAGAAGCATCGACTGCACCAACAGACTTCTCTTTTTCATCGCCTTCACTCGCCTTTCGTTCCGCCTTCTTTTCTTGCTCTTCGTTCACCTCCGACCTTCCGGACATGCCTCTTTCATTCTTGTACACAGCATCTTTAGACTTTCCAGATAATCCCACGAGCGAGCTTTCCGCCAAACCTTTCCGAACACCTTCGATGGTGGCAGTGGTAGACGTCTTCTCTTCTACAAAGTTTTACATAATAGTGCTTGATTCAATTCAAGATAAAGTATTGTTGACTTGTGCAATTGAGAAACTTAATACCTGAGCTAGTATAAACTCTAGGTCGATATGACAACGAGGTCACAGAATATGTATCAAACTTCATAAACACAATTCGAAAGGCGCAATCCGATAAAGTTAGTAGTCGAGGAATGCTGAATGTAATTCCCGTCTCCTCAAAGGTGTACTGCTTTATTCTAAACAGGAAGTAAGAAAAACATGAATGAACCTAGGATTCTTTGAAAGATTTCCCCATATACACAAGGAGAGCCAATTATTATGCCAGTATTTCTGGAGATTAGCACTTTCTGGATCAGCAAAATGACTAGCTTTGGTTAGAGTTTCAACACATGCCCTGTTCACCTTCTCTTGAACAAGTTCTCGCAGCTCCTGCATAACCTAGACGGAACAAATTGCTTACGACATAGCTTTCTGCAAACAAACCTTACGATATCTTTCTAACTCAGAGTAGTTTTCATCCAAATCTGCAATGAGTGTTTGGAGCTCGTCGATGAGCTGCATTAAATGGGTCGTAGTAATGAAGGAAACCAACAAACCTTCATGGCGTTTACACTATCAACCATAACATCATCCATTGAAATGCGGTCCTCATTTGTTCGCCAGAGACTCATGTACGTATTGATCTCTTTTTCAATGATCGGATTCGGCAAGCCATCACAGAGAAGATACCTGTACCACTGGAACGGATAACACAGGAGCACCATGCTTACAATGTAGTCGTCCGCTCTCTCACGTTGTATCTTGTCAAGTGCTTCATGGTGCTTCGATAACAGTTCGCGTGTTTCATCAAGCTCCGCCTTCCTAAACTTTTGCTCCTTTTAAATAAAATATCAATGATAACGATTTTATGAACTCAATGAATCTGAATTAATAAACACGTCTGCAAGAGAGATGACGGATTTTAACTTTCTAACACCTGGAACGTCTGCAAAGAAGTATTGGTTAACATGGTTTACTTAACTTATACATTCCAAACCAAACGACTCAACGTAAAATCCGTCAAGCATGCGAAATATCTGCTGAAAAGTGATTAATTAACGTTTACCTCGACTTCCAATTCATGCTTATGTTTGAGTTCAGCCAATTTGGCTGCAACTTTTGACGCTGCCTCCTTTTCAGCAAGCAATCTCTTCTCTAGCTACTAATTACCAATTTTAAAATAAACACCTTCTTCTTTTTTCCTGGCTTCTTCCTCCTTACGCGTAAGTCTAGGCATCGGCACGTTAAGTCAGTACCTAACCTTGAAAGCGGTAACGATGCCATTACAAACTACCAATAGAACAGAATAACAAATAAAAATTTTGGACGGTAGTTTTACGTTAAACGAGACTAATCTTAAGTGCCGACTTTAAACAACATGTTTTTCTCAAATGATAAAATAGCGGAACTCAAGAACGCGAGTCATAAGGTAACTGAATATAAATGATTAGGAAATTACGGATTGCCATCTCGAGAAACTCTAATTCCGAAAAACATATTTGCCAGTTTTGCACTTTTAAGAATTTAGTCAAGTTTTAAATACACTAATCACCTTTGCAAGACGTGCTGGATATGGATAATGTGAGCAATCCGAATCCAAAAACTTACTGGAAGGAACGAGCTAGTTCCAAATGTTACCTTTCCTTCTTTGAGTAGCATCAAAATCATAGACTATAGTGGAGCCGATAGGACATTTGTAGTTAGTCAAATTACATTAGTGATTGCAAATCCCGATGCTAAGTAGCCGCCAAATAAAGATTTTTAAGTTAGTAGTCGGGAAGTCTGAGGTATATTCGACTTAGGCCTTGTTAATTTTAATCTTGGTTATGGTATAACCAGAAGACTAGCCCACGCTTGTCAATGTTGAGTCCCTTCTTCCTCCCTCCACTAGGATGCATGCATTCAGCTCAACTCACCGTTTTCCTCCACTTGGTTGGAAGCCCTAGGGCGCTGCAAGACTTTTCTTACAATAGCTTGAACACTCCTCGACGACGCTCGACTACTTTCAATATCTCGTATCTCATAATGGTGTCGAATAAACATTCCTAGAACACTAGAATACAGCTTAAAATCTCTGAAGTCGGTTTGGTGGGTGTGGAGGGGGAGGATGGCATACTGTTCGACTTATTTAATAATAATCCTTCTACTAAGTACCGTTAGGCAATAGAGAGGTTTCAAGATGTATGTGTTTCTTATATTACAGCAATATAATGCCTTATATGATTATCTGATGTCTGGCGGTTACATTTGGATTAGCCTGGCCCTTGTAAGCCTAGGCTGATCTTCGGGACAAGCTCAGACTTGATCCCTTTTCTCTTTCTAGAATAAATGT